AGTAAATGTATATAAGGAGACGTTGGTAGGGATGCGTGGCATCGACTATATATATACTCCTATCCTTTTGCACAACAGTCGACATCACCGATTAGGCAAGAAACACAAGGCTAAACATAAATACATAGCACAACACTTACGCACCTAGTCCAAGTTTTTCAATACAGAAATGTGCTCACACCACTAAAAATTGCGACCACGTTACACAGAGTTCGGAAAAACGCAAGTAATCACGCAATTGAAATGCCCACACAAAACATGAAAGTTCACTTAAATCTCAAATGTGATTGTGTCTCTTAAATACTGGACTGCTTCCACAAAGGTTTTCACAAAGATATTGCAATGAAACACGAGATAATTGTTGTGAAACGTACCGGTTAACAATAACGCTAATACATTTTAGTTTTTGGTTTAGTAATTTTGAGACATTTTTGCCTACCCTGCGTCTTCCCTGAAAAAAAAAAAAGTTTTAATCATCATCATCATCATGCTAGAGAAAGTGAACTACTGCATGCGCAGTAGTGGCTTGTCGGTTTTCTTTGGCCACCGAGACAAGATCATTCGCAAAGACCAAATTAGGATGTCTGGTAGATTATTCGCCGAGTACAACGGAAGATGGCTGTTTGAACGAATGAAAATAAAGTCCTTGTCAGCTTGCAGTATCTACAGACTTCACGCACGTACGCTTGTCCTTGAGCGCTCACATCACCTATCCAACGCCTATTTCGAAAACCTGCCCAATCCTTGCCCCTCTGCGTCAACTATAGCCCCTACAGTGCAGAGAGTGAATTTCTCGGGACGTTGTTGGAGCCAAGGCTCTGGCCGTGAGATCATCCTGTACAGGCAGCGAATAGCAACAAGATTTATGACCAGGACAAAGGAAGGGCGGTCGCCTTGATGAGCTTGTCTCTATAGACAAATTCCACCGGAATTCCGTCACGAAAATGCGGCGGCGCTGTCTTCGTAGACAAAAGAGCGTTTATGGTTTTCACAACGCTTATGGCGTCTTACAACGTCGTTTTGTTGGAGCACATCACAGCCTTCAGCGCTTATGGCGGAAGTTACATGCGGACTTCGCAATAATTTTACTCGTAATGTCGACATCGGCCTACCCGTGTTTACAAACATGGAATGGGTCTATATTCTCATGCTCCTCAGAAGTATAAAGGGAACGAACAGAGGCAGCAAAAACGAGGGGCACATGGCAGGTATATGTTTATATACATGCTCCAATGCGAGGCATTGACAACGCGCATGGGCTACACACAGAATTTGATTCAATTCAACTTCATTTACAGACGTGAGACATCATTTAGCAAACTGTTTGAAGCCTACCAGTGCGTCCACGCAGAATGTACTTGCCGAAACAAGGTAGGTTGTGAGGTAGGTAGGTAGGTAGGTAGGTAAGTAGGTAGGTTGTGAGGTAGGTTTGTTGACGTTAGATTGTTCAAGTATCGGCACCTCGTTGGCGACTCCTGGTGATGCCACGTGCATACATATGAATGCCTTACACTTTTGCAAGCGTTATTTTTCACTCACGTCATGAGAGGTACCAACTAAACGGAGCGAAAACGAATGGTCTCAAAAATGAAAGGCAAGAGAAAAATGAAGCCAGCCACGCGGTATACCTGGTTACACGACCGCTGCTGTTTATATGGTTTTCTGAAGGCCACAAAAAAAAAAAAAAACGCCCGCATGAGCGCAAATGACATGCATAGGCCTCAATGGCGTTCATATACTCACGGTGTTATCCGCAGTCGGTCATGACCTTGCGACACCTAATAACAACAGCGAATGCACGTCCGCATCTCATAGAAGACGCGTGCAGTGGGGAGCATGGTAAAGCTGTCTTCATGTACCCTAAGGGATCACCTCAAAGGCCAGTTATAATTGATGTTAAAGGGGCCCTCTAACACACTTCATGACCTCATAGTTTTACACGCTTTTCTCGCTGGTTGTGCACAATGAAGGCTTAAAAGACAGGTGCTGCAAGAACGGCAGCGACAGGGGCAGGCAGCGCGAAGGTATTCAGCGTATAAATATCAAAATACAATAAAATGGATTCTTGCCCTCAACTCGATTATCACGGGCACACCTCACCGTGTTTGCCTCCCCCTATAACGTCGAAATGAACTGAATGCCTTATTGCCTTATACTGAATGCCTTATTGTACAGGAAGCTCAAATGACGTACTGCCCGTGATGCCCAGGACGCCATTGTGATGGTAACAAATAATCTGGTACTTGAAAAGGGTACACCTGCCCCACCACGGTGGCCTAGTGGCTAAGGTACTCGGCTGCTGACCTGCAGGTCACGGGATTGAATCCCGGCTGCAGCGGCTTCATTTACGATGGAGGCGGAAATGTTGTAGGCCCGTGTGCTCAGATTTAGGTGCACGTTAAAGAACCCCAGATGGTCGAAACTTCCGGAGCCATCCACTACGGCGTCTCTCATAATCATATGGTGGTTTTGGGACGTTTAACCCCACAAATCAATCAAAAGGGTACACCTGCGAAACGAGCCAGCTCCCGAACGGTTCTATGTTTCGTATAGGTTTACTGATCTTTCTTTTTGCGATGGCGTTTTTCATTTCTTTCGCTTTCAGCTCTTTGAAACAACGGTGCCAGAAGCGTCCCTGGCACGCTTCCTCCAGCACCATGACGTTTGGCGCATTCTTTGATTTGATTGATATGTGAGGTTAAACGTCCCAAAACCACTATATGATTATGAGAGTACGCCGTAGTGGAGGGCTCCGGAAATTTCGACCACCTGGGGTTCTTTAACGTGCACCCAAATCTGAGCACACGGGCCTACAACATTTCCGCCTCCATCGGAAATGAAGCCGCTGCAGCTGGGATTCCATCCCGCGACCTGCGGGTCAGCAGCCGAGTACCTTAGCCACTGGACCACCATGGTGAAGCTTGGCGCATTCTTTGACTAGCTTTGCAGTTTTCAAGCCGAAAAGTCGGATAGCTTTATTCTTTTTCAGATTTGAGTGAAAAATTATGCTAACAAAAAAAAAGAAGTCTAATATTAATCTCTATTTTGATGCAATGCCGCGATTGCAGTTACGTTGCATTCATCCAATGATAAGGCGGCGACCCTCCGGCGTCACTTCCGCTCGCAACAGTTCTGGCAAGCGTCACTACGAGGTATGCAGTCAGCACCGATGTTTTCAAATGTTAGAGGGACCCTTTAACGGAATATGTGACCAGTAAAAGAGCGAGGGATAGTGGGATGCACCATCTGCTGGTGGCTTCCGGTTTGAGGAGTGTAGGCGACGGCGAATCGCTCCGGCCTCAGATTATTCGGGATGCGCGTGCGTGGTCGCCCGTTCACCTTCGTCCTGCTGAACCATGGTCGGCTGTTCAGTCTTGGCTGCTCCAACTCGAGCGTGAAAGGCAAACACATGTATTGATTTCTATAAAACGAAGAAAGGAAAGTTAGGTCTGCGCATGTTTACTGATATCTTCTATTTGCAGAAGGTACTTCCCACTTGTTGCATTGCTGTGAATACGTCGTATCTAAAATGAATAACTCAGCCTAAAATGAATAAAAGGTCAGGGCTACCATTTCCGAAACAGCGAAAAGGCACACTTATTAGAGGCCACAGAGTGAATGATGATGTGTGGGGCGAAGCGTCCGTCAGCCCGTCCATGCTTCCGTCCGTCCGCTCGTTCTTGCTTCCGTCCGTCCGTGTGACCCTCCGTGCGTCCATCCATGCGTCCATCCGTCTGTCCATGCGTCCGTTCATGAGTCCGTCCATTCATCTGCCTGTCTGTTCATGCGTCCATCCGTCGGTACGTCCGCGCGTCTATTCATCCGTCCGTCCGTCTGCTAGCCCGCCTGTCCGTCCGTCCGTGCGTCCATCTAGTGAGCACTCCAAGTACCGCCATCTCCAATCTTGCATCCCCTGTGGCACATACCCGCTCTACAGCGGGTGTGTGCCAGCGGTGGTTGCGTACTACTACATACATACATATAAATGATGGACAGACCCACGCCTGAAAGAGCTTCGCCCCTTAAAAAATACGAATAGGAGCTTCGTCTTTAAGAAGCCGACATTAGACAATATGCAGTCTCCCAATGCCAGTCTTGCTATTTCGTCGTGCGACCAGAACTTCCGTTAGCACTTGCTTTCAGATATTATGCGAACGCGTGGGCGAAATCTACCTGTTATACGTGATAAGCGCCGGCCATTGCACCCATATATATGACGAAAAACGTGAAAGTTTCACTCGAGAGTAAGTTTACACGAAGCGCTGGACGAGTCCGTTTGCGTTTATCTTGGTCAAACTGTGCGCCAGGACGGCACACAAGGGAAGAAATACGTTAAACAAGCGCAGGCTTTCGATTCCTCGGCGCCGTCTATGTCTGACTGTATTGTTTATGTGCCGCCGTGCCACGCAGTTTGACTAAGATAAGCGTTCCAATAAGCATCTGGCTTCAACTAAGAAATGCATCTTATAGCGTGCCGAAGGCTAGCAAAAACAAAAAAAGAGAGAAAGATATCTCAACGCGCTCAATAAGTGCTGCGCTTCATGCCGATCGACCGACGATGTCTGCAGAAGGAACGATCCCGAAATGAACTCTTGGCACACTGCTGAAGTCCTCCCGAACCCCTGAGATCTTTAAAATTGTAATTTTCTTTATCTGCAGTAACGTATCATAAAATGAAGACCGTCTTCTGTATGGACTGATCTGCTAGCGAAACTGACAGTACCCCCGAGCAGCATAAAAACATTGCTGATCATTTTGGCGCGATAAAAAAGTTTTTTGTAGTGTTCATGGCTTTCGTAGCTTGTCATCGTCGCAGTCACGGTCAGCAGAAACAAACAAAAAAACACAAATTTCTGAAGCCCTGACATTGCACGAAGAGGTGTCTTTTTCAACGAAGCTTAACAAAAACGCGCTCGTGCCGCTGCCAACCCGCGTGGTGCGTCGAACCGGAAGCCGTCGTATCCCACAGTTCGCTGCGATTGCCTATATTACCGGTCACCTATTCTCTCGTGACTGCAGCTATGCCTGAGACAACGAGCCAACCGGTGATCCGCAGCCACTTCGTGAGCCGCGTGACGAGCCTGCCGGTCGTGTCGACAGCGCTCGACACAGCCAAGCAGTCCTACAACCAGGTCAAGGACAGCAGCGGCCTTCTGGGCTACACGCTCAGCACGGCCGAGAAGTCGGCCGCTTACGCCGTGGGCCACTCTCTGCCCCTGCTGGAGAAGTTCGCCCGACCCATAAACTACGTGGACAGCTTGGCCTGCAAGGGTCTGGACCGCATCGAACAGAGCTACCCGGCCGTCAAGCAGAACTCGCCGCAGGACATCATCAAGGACGCGACCTCGTTCGGCCTGAAGAAGTACGTGGACGCACGAGACTACGGCGTCAGCCTGGCCTCGCAGGCGGTGCACGCCGTGAGCCACCCACGCGAGACGCTGACCAACGCGTACCAAGTCTGGAGCCAGCAGGCCCGAGAGCAGGGCGTGAGCGCGCTGGCGGCGGCTGAAGACTCGCTGGACAAGGTAAGCTTCCAAGAACACCTTAGGGGGAAGATGGAATCTCGAAGTGCTGACAAATCCTTGGAACACTGGGTGTCGAGGAGCAAATGTTTCGACAAGCTGACTTATTTTTTTTTTCTAGCAATGACCGTCGAAACATTGGCTCTGTAGGGATACTCCGTGCTTGGCGGATGTCTCATCACTTCCTGAGGAATAGTGTCGCGTCTTAAAATCTACAGCAACACGCTTACTTCATTTGTCAGTGGTACTTGGTAGTGGCACTTTCACAGCAAGCAGAAAGCTGACGTGAAGGACAAAGTTTTTCTTTGGTGCACGACAGACTTCGGCTTGTTGTTGTAGGCACGGATTGACTTTGAAAGAGCACAATGCATTCCTGAAAGCCAGGAAAGCCTTGTTTCAAAGATCTATATTCATTCATTGCCTGCGCTAGCATAATATTAGGTATTAAGCAACTATTGCAGCTTCTGTATAGGTCATGGCGTGAATGAAAAATCAAATTAAGTAAATAAAAGTTAAAAGATACGCCCTAATTTGGCTGTAAGAGGTTAGTCGCACGTGATCGCCTATCACATGCTTCGATAGTGATCGAACCATTAGAACGTGCAAGCACTGGCCCTAATTAAGTAGAACACCCTTTGCGTCGAGCCTCTCAACATAGCTAGAACAATTGTATCACTAATAACGCCCACCAAAGGCATGAAACAGCATACGGGCAATGTAAGCATCTGACACTTGGTGTCTATTTTTCTCCCGATAATGTCCGCTATCTTTGTCCACGCTCCGGTCGCCATAAATGTTCGCCGACTACTCGGCGTGCCTCAAAGCATTTTCGAGTGGCTCTGTACTGGTTGCGATAACGGCGTGTTGAACTGCAAATTTATCATCTCTACTTGTGTCGCTGCTAACGCTACGGCGCCCTTTTTGCTCACCTGGGTATGTAAAGTGTGTGCACTTGGTTTTTTTAGGCCAGTTGGTTAAATGCTATAATAAATGTCATAGTGGACAAGGAAGGTTGGTTGTTCCTTAGTCCTTGCGCAACCTACCACGGGGGGATCGGCCATGAAACGGACGGTATATATATGTATATATATATATATTTCACTTTTCAGATGACATTGTTTTACCAGATGGGATATTTTAACAAAGCACAGATTGGTAGAGTATGCATAAATAAAGGAAATAAGAAAATAGTTGTTTAATATAAAGGAAATAAAATATTTAATTGTTTGAATAGATCTATAGTACCAGTACTTCACGATCACTTACATGTAATGTTTCGAACAGCTTCTGTACGACTTAATCTAGACTACTGTGTGTGAAGAAAAAAAAAACTTTGGCTCATTAATTAAACCATATCGCGGCGTCCTCTGTGGGGATGCATATATTTTTAGGAATTTACCAACTGCTAGTATTTGGAACCTTGCAAGAAAAAAAGGCAGGCGCTTAAACAGCGCTTGTCTTGCTGTGTCTTCTCCGTCCATGTGCGCTATGGCGCCTTTTAAGTATGATTGATTGATATGTGGGGTTAAACGTTCCAAAACCACCATTTGAATATGAGAGACGCTGTAGTGGAGTACTCGGGAAATTTAGACCACATGGGGTTCTTTAACGTGCGCCCAAATCTTAGCTCACGGGTTTACAGCTTTTCCGTCTCCATCGAAAATGCAGCCGCCGCAGCCGGGGTTCGATCCCGCGACCTACGGTTCACCGGCCGAGTACCTTAGCCACTGGATCACCACGGTGGCGCTCCCCCACTTAAGTACACAAACCTGCAGAACTTCCTTTCTCACTTTCCTACTCTCTTCTCTCGTTACACGGGTCATCGCAATGAACTGTGACTCTACGTATGAGAGAGTTTCGTAAGCATAGAAAAGTAAGCTCTAGGTGCTACCTACACTAGAGAATCGCAGGAATTCTTGAGCGCAAACAAATGCGCTAATAGGTGAAAAATGTTTGCTTAAACGTTCGGGGCTTAACGAGTACGTCGCAAACCTGAGCACGTTTTCACGGAGCAGTGAGATAGCTGTGCTGCACAAGCTGCTGCTGCTGCTAGCAGCAACAACGGCGGTGACGGCGACGACACTACCACCAACATAGATTTCGGCAAAAAGTAGTGTTTCACAAACAAGATATATTTCCGATTCCCCCGTTTGCAAAGTTTTAATAAACTTTGCATTTCACTGGAGCTTAATATTAAGACCGAACTACCGTGGTGAATTATTCGGCGCAGTTGACAAACGCTCAGCCTTTTAGTGTCAATTAAATACACGTGGACATCTTGGCGTGCACGCTTTCAACAAATCCGGTCGTTGAGCAAGAATTTAGAAAAATATGGGCACCAGTGACACATCACTCAAGCACAAGCTGTTCACGTTTACTTAAACCGTGAGTTTTCTGCAGACGACAGCTTCTTCGTGGCTAGCAGGGCCAAATACGCACGTTTGCCGACGGTACATACTACGTCACGAGGCCGGCGCATGCGCAGAAACATCACGCTGAAAGGAAACTGCAGCCTCTTCTCATTTACCGCCAAATTCGACGCGAGCGGCGGTGGCCCTCCCGAGAGTTAATCGTTGTACGCGACGGGGAGGAAGTGGATCTGGGCTTTTACGACGTCTTAAGCGCCTCGGCTTTTACCAAGGGGCCATCAATTAAGCGACTCCCAAGGGATCAAGGAGTCGGTTAAGGCTGAGCCGCCCCTTTTCCTTTCTTTAGCGAGCCGCACAGCTTTGATCCTCGCATCCCGTCGGCAGCGCTCTTTCTTGACTAATGCCGGGCAGTAACCGTGAAGCTTCATTTCCGAAAATAAAATCTTGACATTTTTGTATCTTGTACAGATTTCAAAGATATTACTCGTGTTATTAAGTGTAAATATAATGCATAGTTCATGTGACAGAGATATAATGTTGAATTCCAATGGCAGATCCACATAAAGTTTTTCTGCTCTGAGCAGAGCAATCCCATTCTAATGGCGGATCGTGAGCGTGAATTGTGTGTTCCAATGGCAGATTAAGAGAAACCGATTATCACGCCTTGCTCTCTGGAGCAGGACTTCTCGCTCCGTTGAAATCGGCGGATTTAACAGGTCGCGGGTTCGAATCCCGGCTGCGGCGGCTGCATTTCCGATGGAGGCGGAAATGTTGTAGGCCCGTCTGCTCAGATTTGGGTGCACGTAAAAGACCCTCAGGTGGTCGAAATTTCCGGAGCCCTTCACTACGGCGTCTCTCATAATCATATGGTGGTTTGAGACGTTAAACCCCACAAATCAATCAATAAAATCGGCGGATTTGACCGGAAGTTCAAGTGACGTATTCTGTGCGACCGCCTTTCATCCAATCGCCGATGGATGTCCGGAAAACGCTTCGCACTCTCTCGTGCTTCCTCGAAAGATTTCCGCTCACCAACAGCTTCCGTCGAGACGCGCGCGTTCCAATCTCAGATTTGGCGAGAGCAATCCCGCTCGGATCGGTGCGCTCCATTCGAGATCCGGCCCAGCGCTCTCGATCTGCCGTTTGAATTCAACATAACTGAGCTGCATGCACAGCAGTTTTGAGTCCGATCTATAGCTTGTGAACCAGTATCCTCGAGTGTATCGCCGCCAGGGCAGGGTCAAGCAAGCTGCTATCGTTTGTTCCTTCTCTTTAGCGCTGGCTAACATACAAACCGACAGACAGACACGTGGAGGTAATCAAGACGAGTGTCCAGATAAAGAAAATGAATAAGAAAGGTAGGGCGATCAACTGGACTACGTCCGGTGTGAATACGAGCGTCCAATTTGCTACTGTGCAGAGGAGGATTTGAGTTAAGGGAAGAAAGAATAAAAAACACCAAGGTTCATTCGCGTATATATATATATATATATATATATATATATATATATACACCAGATTCTTTGAACGTCATTCACGCTGGACCCGACGTATTGTATGCAAGAAAGAGATGATGAAACTTTCCCGGCAGCGTCTTTACTGAACGTTTTCAGCTGGTGGACCAGCCTTCGTCAGCCTTCGTCTGACGAAGGCTGCTCCACCAGCTGAAAACGTTTAGTAAAGACGCTTCCGGGAAAGTTTTGTCATCTTTCTTGCATATATATATATATATATATATATATATATATATATATATATATATATATATATATATTGAACCAGTCAATAATCACTTCAGGCTATCGGTTCAAATATTCTGTGTATATTTTATTCTTTTCATAGACCATTAAAGTTCTCTTGATTGATTGAAAAAAAAGACGGTAATTGACACACATGTGCTTCGAAACATTATCAGAAATATTCTACTATTCTATATATCTTATAGAGAAATAGTATAGCTTGTCCTCGGGTTGCCTAAATACACTACGCAAGGGGATCCATGAGCTGAGAGGCCAAAAAGCCTTACCCGAATACCCCTATACGTTCGCACACAGGCTGTGATTTCCCGGACTTGCCATATACATCGCATGACACCCCACAGCGCCCTATCATTCTGACATTAAAGCGGAAAGGGCTTGATTACCTTAAGTTGGTTGCGGATACTGTATAATTAATTTGGCTCATGATAACTGGCACTATCCAGTGTCGGCTTTTACGACGCTGCAAGTAAAAAATTTGACAGTACAAGGTTCCCAGTAAAAGATTTACCGGAAACAACATACGTAGACGCGGCCAAATACAAAGGAAATGACATCACTATAGCAGTAGTGGACTACAAAGAAAATCATAAGGTCAGCGGCTCAGTGAGAACGAGCTTTGCAGAAGAGGCGGAGGAAGCAGCTATTGCAATGGCCATAGCATCCACCTCGACTTCACTCATTGTTAGCGACTCGCAGACGGCTGTGAGAAACTTTGCACGAGGGCGAATATCCCAAATAGCTTTAAGAATATTGGTTGGATGCAAAGACCAACGAACAATAGAAATAGTCTGGGCACCCGCTCACTCTTCCTTGCCCGGCAATGAGGCTGCACACCAGACAGCTCGAGGACTTCCAGACCGAGCCTCTGGATTGCCCTGGTCGAACGGGGAGGATGATGAGAGATTTGAGCGGATGACCACTTACAGAGATATTACGCAGTATTACAGGCTAAGCAGGAAAATTTATCCTCCCGCACACTCGTCATTGAACAAAGGACAGGCGGTGGCGTGGCGGCTACTCCAGACCCACACGTTTCCTAGTCCGGTAACAATGAATCGCTGCGTGCCGGAACTTCATTCGGACAAGTGTAAATTTTGCCACAACAGGGCGGACTTAAGCCACATTTCATGGGCATGCCCACAGGCCCCTATGAGAGGCGAATTTCCAGACGGGAGTGGATGGGATGCCGCGCTCCTCAGCTGACTCTTAATTACAAGCCCGCTTAATACGGCAGGCCGAAGACGCCGCCAGGGCCCATGGGATCACGGCCGTCGTCTAGGTTTGGTCCTCCCTTCTCCTCTCGGACCTGAAAGGGAAGGAGGACCTTTCTTCTAATTAAATAAAGTTTGTTCATCATCATTACACGGTTCCCAGTAGGTGGAGTAGGCTATATATATATATATATATATATATTTATATATATATATGAGATAAAACAGGCAGTAATGCCAAGGAATGTACAGGGGAAGTTATTAGAACCAATGGAATGTAAATAAGAAGAAAGCAGAAAGAAAAGTGGATGAAAAAATTACCAGCTGTGAGCAGGAATCGAACCAAGGACCACCGAATAACGCGTTTGATGCGAGCATCGAACGCGTTATTTCGCATATTGCTTTGTTAGTGCCATAGTGCGGATGAAAGTCAATTAGGCTAGTGCATCCTCATTTGCATTATGTAAAACCACCGAGACAAGTAATTAAGGCTGCCTTTCTTATGACCAAGAATAAACAAAAACTTGAAATAATTACTCGAACAAAGATTTGTATAGCAGTGAACCAAACGGCACCTCTCGGCGTAATTAATGTTCTATATACATATTTTTTATTAGACTTCCGAAGCTGCGTTTAACATTTCCTTCCCGGAGGAATACAACAACGCCACGGAGTTCTGAACACTTATACGGCTAGACAAATTTAATTTGAATCAAGAAAACTGTTCAGTCTCGCCCACTTGCTGCATTCATGCATAGGTGTCCTGCGATTGGCTCAAACATAAAAAACTAACAAGTAAAAGACAAGAGAACTAATAAGTCACATGGGACACACAGTCTCGCACCCTGATTAGCTCTCGTTGGGAAGACGAAGCAATCACGTGTGTTGCTTGGCCTTAAACGAGCGGGGCCTTTGATTATCGTTCTCGCCTCTTCGAGAAAGGAGAGGTAACGGCAAAGGATGACGCTACACCGAAAGATGGCTCGGAGGAATTGGCTTCATTCGAGATAGACTCCGCGGGCTGCCGAGACAAAAGAGAGAATTGGTCGAGGTCGCGGTGCTCATTGTCGAGATTAAAATGAGTCGGTAGCGGCGCGATCTTCCAGCGAGTCTCGGTGTCCTTGCGCAGTAGTGATTTTTATCTGAAATGTGACTACCACGTCGGGGAATGTAGCGCGATACAATACAGCGCCACGACATCACGATGCAACACGATACGGTAGACAATGAAACTGGAGTAATTCGCCTTGCAGTAGATCGTGTTCATTATCACGGCAATAGTCCAACTTGCAAGGTCTAGCATACGATATATTTCTGTAATGTGCTTAAGCAGAGGGCCTCTGTCTGCATGAATAAAGCCGGATGACGACTGTTGATACGCGAGGGCGAAGATTAACAGTAGTTTTCGTCGAACGCTGACAATCAAAACGACGACAAACAAAGCGATTCCAAATTACTTTAAGCTTCGTTCTGCATTTTTAACTTTCTTTGCGAAAATTGCGTCTCGGCATTCTTTGTGTGTATTCTATTATTTTAAAACTCTGGTTATCCCGCTTCCATTAGTAATTGTCGGGATCATAGCAGATTTTTTTTTTAAAGATCCCGCTTGGAGCTAACTCCAATAAGCTTCAGTCTTCGGAAAGAAGTGATTCAGATTAATTATTTTCATTTTTTACAGAGATCCAGCAGATCTTGGCTGTTAATTGGGAAGGCTTTGCTTCTGCGAACGCCTCGTTTTTTCCGAAATGGAGACGTTCGATAGTTAATTTAGTTCCCACGTGTCGGTTTGTGTAAGTCACGTGGAGCAAATGAAACACATTCCACGAAGAGACGTCTGAAAAAAGGAAACGAGACACGTGTTTGTATATTTACGCGATTCAGAATGTTGTACAGATTTTCTTTCTTTTCCGGGAGTTTAACCACAAATTATAACTTTTGACACGCTTCACTGGAGTATCAATGGTCTTGCTCCAATAGCATTTGACGATATAATTGAATTTGTTAATTTAGTCGGACAAATTGAAAAGGTAATTGCCCTCTTATTATGAGCAGATGAACTTTTTTAAAGTGGTCCTATTTAATACTGCTTTTCTGTGCAATAACACTGCTTTTTGACTGAAAATTTCATTAAGTATAAGAGAACATGAAGCAACATTTTAGAGGAAGTTCAGTTCATTTGACGCGCGGATACTCACTGACATGTTGCTGATACAGCTGGTTAAAGTCGCAGAACATTAAGGGACTTGTTCACAGACACTGTTTCTTTAAATTGCGAAAGTTTTCCCAATGACACACAGTGCTACAAATTCAGATGCAGGTCGGTTTTCATTGGAATCAAAAGGCATATGGCAAACACTTCAGACACGAACACGTATGTAAAATGCATATACGCTGCGCAAACGTAGAAAGACTACAGTAACGGTATCATGGAAAGTGTACGCTTGGCTACACATACAACACACCCAATAAACTCGCACGTGTTGTACCATTTTGCACTCTTAAAGGTCACTCGTCGAGAAGTTCAGCACGCTTGTACCATGTACTCACGTGCCGCAGGAACTGGCGTCACTTGGCGTCTCGGTCAAGAAGAGCCATTACGAGCCGAAGGGCGAGGTGGTGCATCGCGTGGCCAGCGTGGTGCAGAAGTCGCGCCAGTGCCTGACGCTCAGTGTTATGCAGCAGTACGATCTGTTCCAGCAGCGCGCCTCGCAGATAGCCACACAACTGCTGGAGGCGCTTGGCTTGCTGTCCAAGATGAAGGACGGCCTCCTGGACGGAAACAAGAGCTTCAAGGACATCCTCGACGATCTTCATTCGGACGCCGCGTGGCTCAAAGCTCTGCTCAACGACCCTCACCCGGAGATAATCAAGGTACACTCTGCGTGGAGATTATTGAAAGACTCGGGGACCACTGATCGAAATAATCGTCGAATGACACCATTATTGGGTCCTGCTTCCTCACGAATCGATTGCCGCAAATTTTTTCCGCATTTGCCGGGCTTAGATTTGTTGTGCACTTCCAGTTCTTTCTCTGTTCTGCTCTTCTGACAAGCACGTTTAAATACAAAAGCCAGCATGTCGGGTGGAAAGAATTTACATCAGTGTGCTTCATGACCTTGAGCGTGTGATGAAATCCTATCGCTCTCCCTCTTTGTGACTCCTGTGTGCGAGTGTGGCTGACTGTGTAATGTCAGAAAATGCAGCATGGTGCCGGCGCGTTGCGGCACCTCATGACAAGAGGCCCATCTAATGCAAAACGACACTCTTGGTTTAAATCAACTATTGGCCAGTGGCAGCAATCTTGTTTATGACGACATACAGCAGGTGCTTCGCCCACCGAAGCAAGTGAGGATGGGCCTCTCTATGTAGAGGGAGGGCTTGAAAAATTTACAGCTTTGCACGCAGTTTATGCAAGCTTTTTGACAAGCACGACCGCGAGATTTGGCTGAGCTGTTCAGAGCAGTGCCTACCTTCAGTTGGATGTGTTTCTTCACCAAGCCCGAGATCTAGCTCATGACCCCTTTAGAATGACAATAACAGGTAACTTTTTGTAGCCAAAAAATTGGCTAGAAAATCGGTACCATACCGAAAAATAAAAGCGACGTGCCATATAGCCGCCAATACCAGACTTGAACAATTGTAGTTGTCATTGAATTAGTGATTACAAATTTACAGTGATATATTGTTCTTTAACAAAAGGACCATGCTGCGGCCCACGCTGACACTGTTCTTCATGCTATTTTATGCTATTGTATACTATAGGTTTGCATTATCGGTTACTTAGCATCATAAGTGGCGTCTTCCTGTTTGTATACGGGTGGCTAAACAGCATGCAAACAACACTGCGAATATAGGCGCTTCAGTTATTTGCTAAATAATTATCCTCCAAAACGTTCTTATACTACAATTGTTTGTGAGCGTAGATGTCAAAAACCACAAGGTGGCTGACTGGGCTAGTTGGTTTAGCACACTTGGGGTTCAACAGCGCGAAAAAAATACACGGCAAACGGGAAAAAGACGGGACAAGCGCCGACTTCCAACTAAAATTTTATTAACAAGAAGGCTGGTAATATACCCGAGTGAACAGAAAAAAAGACGTAGTATGTTGGACCCTATTGTCTTGCGCTGCATTTTACGTGGGCCAGACGGGCAGACGCCCAAACGAACGCTTACGGGAGCACGCCAATATTGTTCATATTCGCAAAGATCTCTTCCTCGCGCAACATGTGAGCACGTGTGGGTGCACTCGGCTGTTCGAAAAGACAACAGTGCTCGGTAAGATTAAAGAAGAACACGAGCGTATAATCTATGAGGCTGCTCAGATGGTGCTTGAAAGAAGCCCATGCGTCAGCAAGCCATCAGTTGCTTTGTCAGAAAGAGAGCTATGTCTTTTGGGGGTCGGCGCAGCAGGCACCGTGATTGCTGATGATATTTCGTATTTCTAAGTCTGCCGTTTTTCGCTTTTTTTTCTGTTCACTCGGCTATATTAACAGCCTTCTTGTCAATAAAATTTTAGTATGAAGTGAGCGCTCGACCCGTCCTTTTCTTATCCGCCGTGTATTTTTCGCGCTGTTAAACCTCAAGTCAATAAATCGTCCTGTTGTGTAGATATATTTTAAAAAGAGGCAAGCCCATAGTAAAAACACTTACCAAAATAAGTTTCATGAACTGAGTCACTGTTCTCAGACGGAGCTTTTAGCTCATTTAGCGAATATTTCTCGGTTTTTTTAGCTGCCTAAAAATGGTGGACCACCGTCTCTGGTATGATAGTGTCAGCTGTGTGTATAGGCCGGCACTTAACCTACGGACCACGATGTACACAAGCGATTTGAGCGGGCAATTCCATTCAATGCCTGACCCATCACCACCTCAAAGTAGTTTTCTCAATTTAACGCCCATGCTTACGCCGCAGACCTTGCCCGGCAAAGCCCTGATCATGTCTCAAAACGCCGTTCACCAAGCCGTCGCCGTCGTCGCCGAGCACTCGATGCTGGTCCGCAGTATCCAGGAAACGTACGTCAGGATCTCGCCCGAACTGTACAAGCGACTCGCCCCCATCGGCCACCTCGCCAACGAATCGGTCGCCAGGGCGTACGATCGACTTTCCCACCTCACGGAAAGCTTGCGGCAGACCATCCAAGCCCTGCTCAGTCACATTGTAAGTGAACGCAGTGTTTCGGTGCATCAGTTCCTATTTTTTTCCTTTGAAGCTTCTTATGACTCGCATACTTCAATGGCAGCGTCAGACTGAAAAAAAATAAACCCAGAGAGTGTAAAAATGCGCCAGTCGAAGGCGCGTCGGTCACACGCTTATTCACATGCGCCGTTGTCCAATAATGGATGCTCTTGCGAACGTGGGCTTGTCGGTGATCGGCACTTTCTGATATGTCGATAGGGAATCCATCAAGGTCACTTGTCAATTCACGTTGCCTAATTTCATTGTCACCTGGATGTGGACGCATGACACTTGAAAGGTGGGCGTGATCATTACTATTTTGTTTTTACTAGCACGAAAACCGTGTGATGGCATACATAGTGTTAATGTGTGCTCACAGTGGTCCCATGAATTTGTCCTAATTTGCGATGGCAGGGGGATGACAAGCGCTGAAGAGAGGGTGAGGGGGTGCGGGCAGGCTTTGGGGAGGGCGATCGCCCCTACCGCCCCCGCTCTGGATCCGCCAATAAACCAAAGTGTTACGCTGCTGAGCGCGTGGATGCATGTACAATTCCTGGCATATAGGAACGAAACAGTCCGCAAGCAGAATTGACCAATGCGATGAAAAAAAAAAGGAAAGAATAGTATAGTAGCAAACCAGCCACGCACATGCCAAGCTTCGCTAGCCCCCTTTTTCTCGTTAGGCAATGCCTTTTAATTTGCTCACTGCATGCTTATGTTAGATTTGCGTATAGTCGTGGTGCCACTACGCGAGACAAGGAACACCAATAAAAAGAAAGGTGATGCAAGAGAGCGACAAGCTGGTTAAATATAGAGCAGCCGATCTGAGTCTCTACCTATTTTAGACAGCCCGGGGTGGAGGAAAGACGTCCATGCTTCGCTCTATTGCAAAGATCAAGTGAAGTGGCACGCTAAAGAAGCAGTCTGACAGAGCGTTTACACCTCGAAGCTCGCTCGTCTTATTTCTTGCGAATCGCAAAAAAGTAACGAAAAAAAAACTTGGCAAACTGTGATAGTGGCCTATGTATTGCATGTTTTTTTACAGCTGAAACGTAAAAACGTATACAACACACAATGGTGCTCGTTATCCCTCTTAGCCTGATGTATACATTTTAGCGCTTCAGCTGTAAAGAACTTGGAACATCTCCCTGAAGGGAACCCTGATGGAATGCGAAGCAGCAGCTTTGCGAACGGGTGGGGCCATGGGTTGAACGGCGCTAACACGGGTGCTGCGGTGAGCGCTGGAAGATTCGTTTGAAGCGATGGCTGGCGTAAGTCTTGAAGGTGATACGTATATGCATGTCTCAACGCGTACGTTAGGCGCACGTAAGGTTTGTTACGCGTGAACCGAGGAGTCGGCGGTGTAGGGAGGGGTGGTTGCGGCAGGTCTTGCGGGTGAGTGGACGAGACGGCAGCTGCGGTCGCCGCGGCGAGCGTGAGGCTGGCGCTGAAGAGAGTGACGTCAACGCGCAGCAGCGGCGTGACCTACTTGGCACCACGCCAACACCTACGGCGCGCAGCGCGTTCGTAACGAGGGACAGCGTTACAGAAGCTAGCCAAAGAGCTGCTTCGCATCTAAAGAGGCATGGTGTACGTATAACCGTATTAGTACTCTGCGGAAGTTTTATTGGAGCCCTTTCTCACTTACTGAGCATAAAATGCACGGCAGCGCGAGATATTTTGGAGTCACCTGAACACGTTTGATTGGCGTCTTTTTTTGTGAAATGTGCGTTCGAGAGCAAACCATTCAATATTAACTTTCATTAATAAAGTAATCTTTGGTTCGGGTACGGTCACATTCGGTGATCTCGCAGGGTGTCCATTTCTGGGTTGAGACGACATCCGTTCTTAAACCCTATGTTGTATTCCAGCTACAATGCTTTGCTTTCGAGAAGTACTTTATGTTCATTTTTGAAGTGTTATCTCTAAAGTCCTTACTGTTTTGTTGGCATGGCAGTTATTATTTCAGTTACTTTGACGCAAATATAGGTGTGGTCGTGCTACTTAATTTCTTAGAAAGATGTGGCTTACCGTTGAACCGCCATGCACGTTCTAATGTGTGGGCGGTATTTTACTGTAGCAAAACTTCTTAAGCCCCCTTTAATAACTTACACAAGAAAAACTTTTTTTTTTTTGAGAAATGGCCATATCGTTGAACCCTACCTCTCTTTTCTTTTTTTTTTTCAGCCTGCACTGCCTTTTCCACAAAAGACAGTTGAAAAAGAAGAGGACTCGGAAGGGGATGACGAAGACAGTTTGACGGATTCTGAGAATTAGTTGCTCTACTGTTACTTTCTTGTATGTACGATTGTATAAATGGGAACATTTATGTGTGTTAATTACTCGTGAATTGTACTGAAAGTTAATGTCGCTGGAACTATAGTTTGTATTGCTGGTAATATAAAGAGAACACAATTTATTTTTACGAATAAAAAAATGTGAGAATGAGAACTTAATATGCCCTGGCATTAATGTGAAAGCTCTACGTTCGGCACTTTTAAGCACTCAGCTCTGTTACTCTATATGTCACTTTGAGTCAGTTTCGAGTTGCATGTTCGATCCCTTCAAGAGCTAAGCAGTAGACGGTGACGTACTAGTGCGCAAGTACTTCCTCGCGGCATATCAATAAAATCAAATTAAAGTGTTAGTCGCATGAATGGAACTTTCAAGAAGAAAAATTCCTACAAACATAAACTATGGAGTAAGGATGTGGCTCAAGAAGCACGAGCCGCGCACTCACTTTGCCTTCCTGAAAGGCGCTAAAAGGCCGTGTCAGGAGGTTGGAAAAAACAAGCAAAAACAGCTGAACCTTAAAATACTCATCTGTGAATTTGCTTATGTACTTCAATGGTTTTCAAGACTTGCCCCCATTCGTTCTGACCTCAAATTGCAGCATGCGACACAACTTGTGATGTCTACAAAGCAGTTCGAAAACAATTTGACGAATGCACTTCGATCGGTGCCTGATAGCTTTAACCTTAAGTCATCCTAGCTTTTAAGAAGCGCTAGGGATTTCAAAATTTTTGCATTAGTGATGCAAATTGGTATTTTTATGTTGTTAAATAGTTTTTTCTGAAGTACCAAGGCATACGTCTGACGGACAGATTCGAAAACTAAACAGTACCTTATTAGTAGCCTCAGTGCCATTGCAGTTACCAGATGAGATGCATGCGGGCTTCTGTGGTTAATAATTTGTCACAGCCTTATGCGCAAGTCCCCGACTAGTCGGGTAAAACAACTCGCGTCACTACGATGCCGTCAGAAAGAGCACTCGAGGGCTCCCATTCCGTCCATTAAGCGTCTTCTTACCCCTTGCTAAGACCCCACACGGTGCGCATGGACGTGTATAATAAGTCTTAATTAAAACCCCATTGGGTGGCACGTACTGAAGGGACGGTGCCGGTGTTCTGCTATTATTCACACCACGTCAAGTTGCTTCACCGCATTTCTTGACGCACGCTTATAGTGAGCTATAGGCACGCTTCACGGTGTAGCATATCAAGTACGCGCATATACTCGGCCACATCTTCTGACAGAGGAGCGAATGCCGACGGAGACGGGGCTTCCACGCGTTCGTGATGCTTCGCTAGTAGCATGGCAGCTATTTCGGTTTTTCTATGCACTTGAAAAATGGTAATGAGAGAAACATTTCCATATCCCAGCGAAAGTTTGAGGGTCATACTGCGAGTATATTTTTCTTGGAGAACTAAACGGTGCGTTTTCAGCCGCGCACTGACCCCTATACGTCCGCCCGCCAGCCCGCTCCTATTACATTAGAGCACGCATCGGACGGACGCTTCGACCTCCTCATCATCATTCACTTCGCGGATATGCTGTGCATTTCTTTCAACAGCGCCATCTATCCTCTTGAATAGTCAACTGTACAAAAACTGTTAACGCCATCTAGTGACATTATATCTAAGGACATAAAAACAACGGCATCTGGTGAGGAACTCATAAAATAGAGGTGGCTACATACATAACACATACGAATGGAGGAGGAGACAACTTACACTTTAAGAAGCTTCGCCCCTAAAAGCGATTGGGAGGTGGGAGACAAGGAGGGGTGCCTCAGCCACTTCGTAATACCTGGTCATGAAGCTCCGGCGAAAGTTTGATGTAGGAACAGGAGGAACCGCTAGGGGCGCCTTCACCCGTGCGGGTGCAATTGTACGGTACACGGCGGATCTGTCAAACGTCGTTAAATATACCGGTGAAGGTTTATTACGTTTTCAGAGTGATGTTACTTTCAAGGAAACTTGAAGAAGCTCTAATACAGTGAAACTTTGCGTTGAATGAGGGCTTGAAGCTAGAAATTTGACGGCAACTGATTCGACTGAAAGTTATTCTACCGCTAAAAATCAAGCTTCCTTTTTTTCTGAAGCATCGAGTGAAACTTCGTGGACAATCAAGTGTTCTTCAACGGTTCTGGGGGATAGCTTTCGACAGCGCATCTCGAATTTTTCAGGCTTTATATAAATTTGGTGTTTCTATACCGCGGTATACGTGTTAAAATAGCCTCGTATTTATCGAAACAGCAGACAGTTTAAATTAATAACCGCTTTGAATTTAGCAAGTGACGAGAATGAAGAAATACTTCATACGGCTTCTGCCTGAGTTTTGTGTTTTGTTTTGCGTTGATTTATCGCTATGGTGCCGTTGGGCGTTTAAAGTTTGGTTGGTGATGCAATATAGTTTTCCAGTTCTTTATTCTGCTGTGCAGCATGCCGCTTTTTCCCTGTCCCTTTTTATTATCTTTACTGTCCAGGTGAGATTCTTACATGCCTCCTTAAATATCAAAATAAGTAACAATAATAATAATTATTGGCGTTTAACGTTTCAAAACCACTCTATGAGATGCCGTATAGTGAGGGCTCAGTAAATTTTGAACACCTGGGGTTCTTGAACATGGACGTAAACCTAAGCATATGGGCCTCAAAGATTTTGGCTCCATCGAAAATGCTGCCACAATGGCCGGGATTCTATACCGCGACCTGCGGCTCAGTAGCCAAGTGCCTTAGCTACTACACTAATATGTAAAAATTGACCGACTGCGTCCTACGCCGACAGCGTCAACATGTCATGCGAAAAATTCTTATTGTGCCCAAGACGCATACGGTATGAAGAAGTTTATTCAATGATCTGGTGACATCGAAAATGAACTTCTCACACTTTTGCAGCTTGAGCAAGTTTTGTACAGTTCTTTTGGTGCACCCTTTTTCGCGCCGGCGCCCTAGCGAATTTCTTTTGGTAGCGCCAAAATCTCAGTTCCAAGCAACGGGAGTGTGCGTTGAAATTTTCAAGCTACGAGGAGCTGCATGTAGCACCGTATGTTTGGCATGTCACCTCTACACTGCTGGTCTTTTCAGTACTCGTATAAAAAAAAAGGCGAGAATTTCGCTCCTGAAACTTTTATAGTATTGACATGCAACGAGGAAAATGCGGCCAGTGTGCTCACCTTCATTAACGGCGTCATTATCAACGGCATTTGTGTCAAAGGAGCTCATGCACAGTGTTTATGCAGCATCAACTTTCTTAAGCTCAGCTGATGGTTCCCGGCGACGCTCGGTAGGCAGGTGAGCTGTGGACTTTTTCGCGCTAGGCAAATAAGGTGAGATGCCACGGAAAGTCCTCGGCACGGCGTTCGGAAAAAGTTTCGGAACACCGTGCGGCGTCTTCACAACTCCTCCGATTAGCCACTGGTTCACGCAAAAGATCTCTCTCATCGAAGTTCTTTTCGTGCATACTCATTTGTGGGGAATCAAATGGGAAACCACCAGTTTCTTGTGGTATAGCGCGCTTCCACTCTTCCCGCCATTCGCTGTCTAGGCAGCCAGATCATGGACGCCTATTCGTCATTTCCCTTCTAGCCGGATCGACACCCATGTATGCCGGATGTACTATCAGCGTCAAATGAATCCCGAACAGGATCAAGCCTTCGCGATGGTATAGTGCGTGCCGTCCTGCTATCACCGTGCTAAGTGCCTCTTAGCTACTACACTAATAGTGAAAATTGATCGACTGCGTCCTACGCCGACAGCGTCAACATGTGATGCGAAAAATTCTTATTTTGCTTATGACGCATACGGTATGAAGAAGTTTATTCAAGGATCTGGTGACATCGAGAATCAGCTTCTCACGCTTTTGCAGCTTGAGCAAGTTTTGTACAGTTTTCTTGGTGCACTCTCTTCCGCGCCGCAACCCTAACAAATTTCTTTTGGTAGCACCAAAATCTCTGTTCCAAGCAACGGGTGTGTGCGTTGAAGTTTTCAAGCTACGAGGAGCTGCATGTAGCACCGTATGTTTGTCATGTCACCTCTACACTTCTGGTCTTTTCAGTGCTCGTATAAAAAAAGGCGAGAACTTCACTCCTGAAACTTCCATAGTATTGACATGCAACGAGGAAAATGCGGCCAGAGAGAAAAAGAGAGAGAGATAAAGATGCAAAGAAAGGCAGGGAGGTTAACCAAACGCACATCCGGTTTGCTACCCTGCACTGGGGAAGGGATGAAGGGGAGAAAAGAGGTTGCAGATAGATAAGAAGGTACACACAATCACGAGCACACTCGGGAAGCCCACACAGTCTACAGGTGGTCGCTCAGGTTAGTTGATTTTAAGTAAAGTAGCAGTGCTTTAGTCGCTTTCTGCGCAACTGAGGCAGATGCCCAAGGTCCTAGTATCTTCTGCACACAAAATGGTCCGGGGTCAAGTTGATTCAAAACCATCCGGAGCTGGCATCACTGTGTGTCGTAGCAAGCGCAGCTGCACAGGACGTCTTCGATGGTATCTTCAGCTCTGCAGTAGTCGCATGTAGGAGTGTCTGCCATACCAATGCGAAAGGAGTACACCTTTGTAAATGCAACACCCAACCAAAGGCGGCATAACAGTGTCGCATTGGAGCGGGAAAGTTGTGATGGTAGCTTTAGCTTGAGCGAAGGATCCAGTTCATAAAATTGACACCTTTGGAAGCTGGTAGACGACCAGAACGTGCGTGTGAGATCTCGAGCCAGCAGGTAAAGTTGTCTTGCTGCATCATTCCTTGATAGAGGAATCGGGACTACACGGGTTCCTTCATGGGCTGAGCGGGCTGCATCATCGGCTAATTGATTTCCGGTAATACCGATATGTCCAGGCAGCCATTGATATATAATATCATGCCCTCGTGCTAGAGCTTCATCATGGCAATGTCTTATTTTTTGTACCGATTGTTCATGACTCCTCCTACGCATGGCAGACCGCAAACTCTGAAGCGCTGCCTTCGAATCACAGAATATGACCCATTTTCCTGGACGTTCTTGAACGAGATATTGTAAAGCAGCCCTTATAGCAGCAAGCTCTGATGCCGTAGATGTAGTCATATGCGACAACTTAAACTTGATTGTCATTGCTGCAGCCGGAATTACAGCGGCACCCGCTGTAATGAGCTGCTGGACGAGATGGACCCATCAGTGTATAT